TAGACAGAGCCTAGGTGCTTGCTGCACAACATTTGACCTTGTGATTTTGGACTGATAAAGGCCCTGTCCCATCCATTCCCAGATCTGCCTAATTTCCTTGACCATTGAGGACTTCACTGGGCTCCTGCCAGCATCGTACAGTTCTTCACCAAGAAGAAACTGCCCCAGCTCTGTGGTTTTGCCCACTGTCTCCCAAACCTTAACCTTGTTCTGTGGCTGAACAAGTCTGATGTAAGGGTGGGAGGTACGTTCTGCTGTGGAAATAGGAGATTGGAACAGCCCAGAAGGAAGGAAATTTGACATGATGGATTTGAAAAGCCTTGAAGGATATCAAACTCAACAATTCCATTTCTTAAAACTGCCCAAGGAAACAGTGAACAAGTATGCAAAGATGGACAAAAATGTCCATCCCAGTTTTGTTTATTAAAAAAACTTGCAAACATTTTAAAATTATACTTATAAAGGATTGGTTTATGCCAGGCACTGGTGGCTCATGCCTGTATCCTAGCTACTTAGGAGCTGAGGTTCACAGTAAAGGCCAGCCCAGTAAATAGTTTGAAAGACCCCATCTCCAAAATAACCAGACCAAAATGGACTGGGCATGTGACTCAAGTGGTAGAGTACCTGCTTTATAGTGCAAAGTCCTGAGTTCAACCCCCAGTCCCACAAAACCAAAAAGGATTGGTTTATTAGTAGCCTTCTTGAAGCAGTCATTTACAATCAGATTCTAGGAAAATAAAAGGAAACAAGGTAATAAATATATTTTTTATCTAAAAATTTCAAAAAAAAAATGAACAAAGTTCCTCTTTAATTCTAACCCAATCCCATCATTCCCCAAGGTACCCCCATTTCTATCCAGTTAGCATGTATTTCTCTGACCATTATTTTTTAAAATCACATTTAATTGTAAATAATAGAACCAGGTTATGCAAGTTTGGAACTATGCAAAGGGAAAAGGTTGGCTGATAAAATACCAAAACATGAACAGTATTCAGTTCAAAATAGTGGGTTTGTGTATGATTTTTACTTTCTTTTCGGCAGGAATTATTGTATTTCTACGTGAACAGGAAAAAGAAACAATGCTATTTTTAATAGATGTGAAACACAAGCAGTTGGTGGTACTGGATGCTTTCTGAGGACTGGGAGAGACTGTTCACTAGGAATCTTTAATGAATTTTGTAGCTTGTGCACATATTACCTATTCCAAAAAATGAATAAAAATCTTGAAAAATTAATATGCCCATAAAATCAAATGAGAAGGCTGGCAGAGAAGACCTCTGAAGGGCAGCAAGCCCTAAAATTCGGAGAATCTGTAAAATTCCTCAAGCTGTGGTTGTGGTTTGTGTCTGCTCAGGATTCACTCCAGTAATGCTGGTCTTTTTCTGTCTCACTAGGCAAGGAATTAGGGGCCTCTACCTGGAAGAAATGAGGTAGGGTCTAAAATAAACCAGGCTGCCAGCCAAAATAACTTTATAATAAATTTACGGGACAATGATGGTAATGGCTCCATTGAGCCTGTTTTCATACTTTTTCAAAGTACTTTTATCTTCCTTTGGTTTCCAAATTTTCCTTGAGGCTATCTGCTGCTGTCAAGGTCCTGGGGAGAACAGGATGGGACCAAAGACTTTGTCTAAAGGCCATTGTTTGAAGTCTCCCCACAAGATCTCTGCTTCCCTGGGCCAGTGTTGGTGTGAGACAGTAATTATCCTCTCCTTCCTAGGGCCAATCACATCTCTGAGCCTTGGGTTCCAAACTCCTGAAATGAGGGTATTCAGCCTTGCCCTGTAGACTGGTTGTGAGATATGGGTGGCAGTTGACAGACTGTCCAGCAAGAATGCTGCCCAGTTGGAAGAGGGTACCCAGGGGCTGGAAAGGCTTGCAGGGGGAAGGGTATAGATAGCAGGTATCTCCTCCTCCTCCTCCTCCTCCTCCTCCTCCTCCTCCTCCTCCTCCATTAAATACAGGGAGGTTAATGTAGCCCAGGCTAGTCTCAAACTAGTGATCCTCCTGCCTCAGTTTCCTGAGAGCTGGGATTACAGTTGTGTACCTTCATATCTGTCTGATGACAGGTATTTTCTATCAGTCTTGATGAGAGAATTAGATAAGACACAAGTGTCTGTGTGAACATGTAAGTGTTCCTCCAGGTCTAGAAAATTCTCTGTAAACTTTTTTTTTTTTTTTTTTTTTGGTGGGACTGACATTTGAACTCATGGTTTGCAAAGCAGGCGCTCTACTGCTTGAGCTGTACCTTCAGTCCATTTTGGTTTCTATTTTGGTCTGGTTATTTAAATTTTTTTTGGTGATACTGGGGTTTGATCTAAGGGCTTCACACTTGCTAGGCAGGTGCTCTACCACTTGAGCCACTCTGCCAGTCCTTTTCTCTGTTGGGTTTTTTCGAGATAGGGTCTCAAGAACTATTTTCCCGGGCTGGTTTTGAACCATAATCCTCCTGACCTCTGCCTCCCAAGTAGCTAGGATTACAGTGTGAGCCAGCAGCACCCAGCTGCTCTGTAAACTATTAATCCATTCCCCTGGAAAGCCCCACTACCACCATGTCACATCTTCCTATGCCTCTATATCTCCCTGTATTGTAATTATGTGCTTGGGTCACACAGTCTCACTGGACTGAGTTCCTTGAGGGCATGATTTGTATCCAAATCAATCTTACCTTTTTTTTTTTTTTTTTTTGAGGTACTGGGGTTTGAACTCAGAGCTAACACTTGCTAGATAGACCTCTACCACTTGAGCCACTCCGCCAGTCCTGTTTTGTGTTGGGTATTTTTGAGATAGGATCTCATGAACTATTTGCCAAGGCTGGCTTTGAACCCTGATCCTCCTGCTCTCTGCCTTCTGAGTAGCTAGGATTACAGGTGTGAGCCACTGCCATCCTGCTCCAAATCATTTTTTGTGTCACATAGTAGGTCTTCAAACACATTCACTGCATGAATAAGTGCATATTATACAGCCACAATCCTGGCCCCTTGTTCTGGCCCTGAGGCTACCAGAACTCACTTCAGATCTGACCCAGAGGAGGTGGGAATAGATAAACTTGGGGTGCGGGGGAGGGGAGGGGAACTGGCCCATGGTCCTGGAGACTTGATATCTCTGGACTCAGTTTCTTAAACTCATGGAGGCAAAAATCGTAATAATAAGATAGAGAAGGAAGCAAAGGGTAGGGGTGCAGTAGTTAGAAAGCAGGCAGGTCCCTTGAATGGCACTGCTTTCCATGCTGCCTGGTCATCACCAGTTGACTGTGGGTTAAGCGTGGCATGATTCTCTGATTTTCAAGAGAAGCCAGAAATCTGGCTTTTATGTGACATCTCCTGAACAGGTCAAACTCAGAAAAATCCATAGGCCACTACAGCGGAGCCCACCAGTGTGTGATCCTTTCACTAGCTAACCACTCCACTTCCTTCTAGCTCTTAAACCCTGTGAGTTCAGGACAGAAGCCTGAAGACTTACATTTTTTTAGAAATAACCTTTTAAGAGAAGGATCCAAGATCCAGGCCTTATTCTGAGCATTGGGCTCCTGGTAACTGCCACCCTAACCCCCAAACTGCAGCTTTATGGAAGCTCACGTCCCCTGTCTGCCACCACCCTTTCACTTATCAGTGCAGAAATGGTGTTGAGGCAGTGATCACTGGTCTTCGAGTGGGCCAGGTGCAGTCCCTTGCGTTCAGCCCTCAAAGTGCCAAACCTGCCCAGAGACCTAACCTGGGACCCCTCCACACACACACCTTAACACTGCCGCGTACAGGGGCACCCCCCATGCTACCGTCTCACCTAATAAATTCCTGCCAGAGAAGCTGTCAGGGCCTGGGAAATAAATAATGATATTTAACATTTTGTAATAACAACAATTAACCAGTAAATAATGTCCTTTAAACTGCAAACGCTGGAGTAAATTAATTCTTCTAATGAGCTGTCAGGCACGGAAGAAAAAAAGTACCCGTGTTCTTCGGTGCCACGCGGCTGCGGTGTGAGCAGCCGGGGAAGCTCACCTCGGGCCCCTGAGTTCATTCCCGGGAAGCACGCGGCGCGGTTTGCGGGGACCAGCGGGGCCCCTCTGTACCGCGCACCGCCCACCCGCCAGGTGCGGATGGCAAGCTAGCAGCGCTGAGAGCATTTCAATTAGGGACACCCCCCACCCCACCCGCCTCCCCACTCCCCAGTCCTGGGTCGCCTGGGCAGCTCTCAACCTCGAGGCTGCTGGGGACAGAGAAGGGGGAGAAGCCTGGCGCGGCTCCCTAGTCCTTGCTGCGTGACCTTGGAGAGGTTTCCTGCCCTCTCTGGGCGGCGACGCCGTAAATGGAAATGTGAAGCTAATCAACCAGATGTGATTACTTCTGAGCTCCCGAGAAGCCTGTGACCATAAAAATACCGTAAGAGTAAGGCAGCTCTTTATGTACTGATTCAGAGTAATCTCCAAGATATATTGTCAGGTGACAAAAGCAAGGAACAGAAGTGTGCAAGGAATGCTACATCTTGTGTATTAAAAATAGAACTAAGGAGAGAGTGGGTGTCTCTCTTTGTTTGCCCACGTCCAGACAGGACAAGGGAGGAGGGAAGGCTCACAGAACAACCTTTGGGGCCTTCTGGAATCATGTGCAGATATTACCTATTCAAAAACTAAGAGTTACAAAAAGACAAAACCACACACAGCAGAGGTCATCTTGTCTCTCAGTAGCTTTTAGGCTGTAGAAGCCACAGGGTCCTGCTGAACTTGACACTGTTCCAGAAACCAGAGAGAGTACCCTGCCTCTTTTAATAACCTATCCTGGAGACAAGCTGTTAGGAAGTCTCTGCGGTGGCCTATGCCCATCCCTCCTGCTTCCATTT